ACTGACAAAAATAACGCTCTATGTATAGTGTATACACGTTATGCACTATGCTAACACTATACAATAATGTAACCTGGTACTTTACAAAAATGTGTAACCGAAACATAGAAACAATAGCTTTTTCCCGAACTAGCCTTCCAGGGACTAGACTTTTAAAATCGTTGGACCCAGTGTAAACTCAGAAATTACTGGTAATTAACAGATTTCTCTAACTTTAAAAAGTAGACTAACATCACATCTCATCACAGTCACCTCCAAATAGAAGTCCATTTTAGCAAAAAAATGTCAAAAAGTAACTAATACTGACATATCATCAGGTTAAAAGAGGAAAATAGCCCTCAGATCATGAAAGTGAATGGCGCTTACACAAACAGTCAAAAGACTAAATTTTCAATAAACAAAGAAGGCCTCAAACAAAGTTCTTCAAAATACATGTACGTGTAGCAAAAACACAATTGCAGACCTACCGTGAAGTTAAATGAGGCTTGGCAGAAAACAATATGACGTCATTACAAAAAAAGATCATTTGCTCAGAAATTAATTACATGAACACGTATTCAATTTACAATGTCGTTAAAGACAAGCTGTCGGTTTTGTAAAGTTTGCGTTGTCGCCTCTACAAAATGAGGCTTAGTTGTAGATTTCAGGCCAGGAGGTATGGCCCCCCTTGCTTCAGGGGACCATAGCGAAACGTTTTCATCCTGGAAGGACAAACTGCCCACTGTCTGTCTGCGGGGTGGCGTGGTGATGGTGTCGGTTGTGATCGCAGTCAGACCAGAGCGGCGTGCTGGACGCGGGATGCACCCCGGGCGGGAGTGCAGCGGGGCCGGCCTGGGTCGTCGGAGCCTGCCGGGCGCTTTAACACAGCACCCTCGCCTTTTAATAGATCTGAGCCTGGGTGTGCGGCCTGCCTGTTTGCCTCCAGCCTGGCCTGCAGGACATGGAAAAACCAAAATCTAAGTCAAAAGTCGAAGGCATTTTTGAATTTCATTTGAAGTTACGTGACGGTGTACATGTACTAGAAGTTTTGTAAACAAGCCTGGCAAAGATGCGGAAGTCTGTATGGACACATTTCGAGAAGTCATCATTTTTTAACGAATGTTTTTAACGTCAGACAGCAACAATTTTGTCCAGATGAAAAGGCTCCATTCATCAAGCATCAACGTCTACTTGTTTCTTTTCATTGTAATCATGGGAACAATACAAACACAACATTTCCCTCGGTAATGAAAACAATTCAAATTGTCAAGAGCCTTGTCGGCTTTCGTATGCAAAGATATACATTTGCATAGACTCACCCTCTTCTGTGTGACTGCAGTCGCTTTTCTTTCTTTCTTTTCTGAGCTCTCCGACAGCCTGACGATAAAGTTTCTTCAAATCGTCTCAAAGTATCCCAAATCCGCGCCTGAAAAAAATACATATGTTCTGAGCAACATACAAACTATGTCGATGTACTTCTAAGTAGAAATAATAAACTATGTTATTAATCAGTAAAAAATAGTGTACACTTCTTGCCAAAATAAATATTTCTGCCGTACAGTAGGCACAACTTAGCCAACGTTTTTAAACAACATGTTTAAGATATATGTAACGATAGTGCCGTATATATAATAGTATCCTTGTTTTAGCTTACCCTTCCTCCTGTCGGTTTCCTGGTTCGTTGCGGTGTTGTCGGCAAATTGTCGGCCCGTGTAGTAGAGTCATTTCTTCCGTTGCGAAAACGAAGTAACAGAACGGAATGTTTGACGCCATTTTAGTTCAGGAACATACTAGTAATCTTTGCAAGCAGAGACAAACGTGTTTTGAAAAAGCAAACCGTCGTTGTGACAAAGCAAGATTCAAACGACCCACCAAAACAAAGCATCGCGTCTCTTATTGGCTGGTCCCGGCGAGAGCGAGGTAGGATTGGTCGTCAGTCATATAATCACGTGATCGCGTTCAATACTACAACGACCTTGTTTTTATATTATAGCAAGGACATTATAGGTTTTAAGTTAAATCGCCTGTGAAGTCTGAACACTTGGATGAAAGGATGTTTCTGATTGTGTGAATGTATTTATTTCAAGGCAGACGAATGATCTTCATAATTCTAATTCGTCATGATTGCATGGCTTTATTCGTTCTAGAATTACACAACTTGTCGCTCACTGAGTGAAATAAAACCGCACTTTAACTCCAACATAACCTTACTCTTTGTAAATGTATCCAAAATCCACAATTAATGTCATGAGGGTTGACTTGTTTTGCTGGATTTCAGTATTTTACCAGGCGTGGGGACGCTGTGAGTTGTCCATTTGTTTACACAAAGGCTATTCACATAAATGGACGCCATGTCAGACACATCACAATACACATCGACCGAACTACAATGTAAAGCTTGCATATTATTACCTATACATGTACCTAAAAATCATAACAAACTGATCAGGTCACGTTAGTTCAAACCCCTTTAGTCAAGCGTTTGATTACATCATGGTAATGAAACTTACGGATAAACTATTATTTCCAAAATAAAAAATTCAGATTTAGACCGGAGTGTAGATTTAGGTCATTTTGACCGAGTAGGTTATATAACCCCAGCGTCGGGGCGCCCTACGCTCAAATGTGCTTTGTCGTATGGACGACATCACGATAAATCAAGCCAAGGACGCATAGGTTCAAATGTTGTATTAACAATCCTTGATCATTCTATATCTAATTTGCTGAGATTAAAGTACTGGCAACTTTGGTTCAAGTAATTATCACCTGAAACATGAATACACGCAGTACCCCTTATTGTTAGCCGCTCCCCAACACACGCCAAGTGTGCGGGGCGTAAATTTCCGTGCACGTGCACGGCGAGCACGAATCCGGGAGTGTAAGGAAATATCCGGGGCCGTACATGCGAAGCCCGGAAATCCATGGACGCGACCAGGACACAGCGAATTTCACGGGCGTGTGCGGGACTGGAAACTCTTGGAAACGTGGTTTTTCATACAGTGTTTTATATGCATCTAATTTGTTTTTATGTTTACCGAAGAAAACGATAAATATATTGTTTTTACTCAATTTCTTCTTCTTCCGTTCCAAAAACCCAAAAATGGTCGATATTTTCGTAATTTCAGCCTGGAGGAAAATGAAATTCAGCATGCGGATAGGTTTGTACGCTAGACATTGAACCTTGGTCATTTTGGCCGACATAGATGTAAAAAAGAAACGTGTGGCGTAACGGCAGAGTGCGCGACTCGGAACTAATACCCTGTTCACAGTGCAAAAAAATGGATCTGGATTGACTGCCGATCCCGATCAGAAATTCATCAATCCTGATTGACCCGCGCGTTCACACTGCTTTTTGCCGATCCGGATTGCATCGCACATCACGCTCAGAAATGGATTGAGATATCACGAGCCCGCCATCTTGAACATGCCATAGCCATGCCATGTTTCTTCTCCTCTTTCTTCTTCTTCTCCTGCCATTTCGTTAAATGGATTCAATTTCTTCATTTTGGGCCAAATGACATGAAATTTGGCATGAAGGTAGAGTAGCCAAATACCCCCAAGCGTTTTTTCCTTTTTTTTTTTGGAAAATTGTTTTATTATCTTTTTGGCCATTTTCAGGCAAAAATATACATTTTGGGATCTGGAGCCCTGGTAATAAAACCAAATGACCTGAAATTTGGTATAGTGATACCTTTGACATATGTCTACAAAACCTCATTCAAGCTTTCGACATACACAACTTTAAAATTGAAAAAAATAGGGCTTTTTGGCTATTTTCGGACAAAAATGTACATTTTTGGCTCCTGTGCCCTGATATTAAATCCGAATGACCTGAAATTCGGTATGGGGATACCTTGGACACATGTCCAAAGAATGCAATTCACGCTTTTGACATACACTACCTTAAAATTGTGTAAAATAAGGGTTTTTGGCTCTTTTTAGACAAAAAAATGTACGGGGATGGGGATACCTTGGACACATGTTTAAAGAATGCAGCTCATGCTTTCAACATACATTACTTAAAAATTGTGCAAAATAGGATAAGGCTTTCTGGCAATTTTCTGACAAAATCTGTACATTTGGGGTCCTGGAGACCTGGTATTACACTCAAATCATCTGAACTTTGGTCTTCGTATGCGTTATATATATATACCAACAACACTTCATTATGATTTTTGGCATACTCTCCCTTAAACTTGTATAATTTGGGACTTTTTGACTGTTTTAGGTCACAATTTACAATATAGTTAGGCGTGACTATCCATGAGTCATCTGTCTGGCATGCACAGCAAGCAACCAGTAGGCATGCAGCTTA